TCCAGACTGACGAATCGATACCACAGGCCCTAAATGCTGTCTTCACTCCTTCCAATTGCGTATTGTGCACAGCATCACACGTTGCACTTTTTCCTTTTAGTAGACGGAGATCGTACCAGAGGTTTTGATCGGTAAAGCGAAGAAATGACTCCAAATTTACATGCCATCGTCAGAACAAGTATAGGGCCACCGCATTTAAAGGGCATATCATCACTTCATGCATCGCATAGCACCGTATTCAACCCTGCTACTTTTGTTAGTCTTTTCTTTTCTTGTGATAACTTCAAGGGGACTGCAAACTTGGGGGCCTTCGTCAGGTAGTGTAAGAGATAACATATCAGGGAACTGGATAAATCGCCTTGACTCTCCACGAGCAAGAAGAGCGTGTCCGACTAAAACGTCCATTCGAGGCCGCTCCAGTTAATTTGTTCAACCAGCACGTATTTAAATTCCTCATGTCCTCTAAATTGTATCCATCTAGCATCTTTCCCAGCCCTCGATCGGCGTATGGGCTGTCTTTCCGCTCGTTTTCTCCTCGCTTTAGCATGTCCATCAAGCTTTTAGGGCTTTGCGCGCGGGTGTGAGTGTTGGTTTATGTTGATGGATATTTGATATTGGTAAAGATAAATGATAGCCTTTACATACGCATCCACAGCTTTAAAACCAAGCCTAGCAGCACTTCCATATTCATTTTCTTTCGTTTGTTACCGCGAGGAATGACAAAATTGTCGAGATAGTGCACAAGCTTCGATTCGTAATTTAGTGACCCGTCAAAAACATCTTATCTCCACACCACCTTACAAAAGTCATCCTGCTTGTTCTTGTACTGCTTAATTGTGTTTTCGGGTCTTGTTGAGGCGTGTCGAGCCATAACATTGACCACAGCTCGTTGGGGCTCCTGCGTATTTGAAGCGTTCACAGAGTGTTCATCAGCCATGTTCATTGTGCCCTCGGAACTGGCACAACGATTCGCGTATAATGTGTGCATATGGGGGCGAGGGTGATAGCTGGTTAGTTTGACCAAGTAAAAGGGTGAATAAGTGGTTTTGCAAGAAGGTCTCAGAGAGTGACTCTGATTACTATTCCTTTTAGTAGTTTCAATGCATTATTCAGGACTGACCTGATAGTCAAATATGTGCGAAATACGTTGAAATACGTATGGTTTTTTCAGTGGGATCGTCAGACGCGGTCCAGACCTACTGGTAGATACTGAGCAGTAATATTAGAAAGGGACGCTACAAATAAAGTGGATTATTGAGCAAATCTGCCACTACCGAAAGGATAGAGCACGCATGGAAACTAGTAAATCTTATATTTTTGAGGGTATAGCACTACTTTTTAGATTACTTCATATTAAGAAAACCTTGCATAATTCATATAAGGTGCATTGCCAGTGCATCAAAGTGCATCAAAGTGCTGTATCATTACGAGTTTTCCGGTACCGCGATCTGCTTACTGCTACTTCATCAAAGAGCAGATGACATTCTAACATTTTATACGTAATACCGGTACACTTATTTGATGGTAGTACGAACTTCGTACTTACCATCATATATGTGTGTCACCCAATGTTTCTTGGTGAAACAAAGAATTGGATATTTCAGAAGCGTGCTTCACCATTAGGTCGCATAACCAGTTGTATTAGAATTTGCGAGCTACATTTTGGGCCATAAATGTGTGTGCACAAATCGAACACTCGTGTTTCTTCTAGAAGATCGCCGAGATCGTTAATAATGCAGCCCGTTCCTACCATGCTGTTTTGTCTTCGAACTAAACTACTTTTAACTAGTAACCCGACAGTTGCGTATCGTCTGAGTCGCAGATGAAATCGTCGTGGCCTGGAAGGTCGTCAAGCGTCATGCTGTGGCGCAGTCTCTTTCGGCTTCGGTACTTGTCCTGCGACAGACGTCGTTTTGTTTTAATGGTGTTGCCAATAGCACGTAGTCTGTTCTCCCGCTGTGCGTAGGCCTCACCGTTGGCATCTCGCAGTGGGTTTGACTCAATGTGGAAGTTGGTCAAACTCACGCAAACTTGGAAAATATCGTCGTACAAGTCCTCGCTCCAGCGGTACTTGTCCGCGACAATGCGCCACAAACTGCAGAGCCTCCCAAAGAAGTTTTCAACGAGGACTCGGTCACTAGAGATGTTTTCATTTCGGCGCTGAATCTCGGGCGGGAGGTTCGAGCCTTTAGTCGGGTGGATACAGCGAAGGTGGGCTTCCAGCCCCTGGTAACCTTTATCGGTGAGTACTGCCCATTCACTGGGAAATTCCTCGCGCAACGGGCCCTCGTCCGGAATTGTTTTGTCGGTCTCCGACTTCACGCGCATGCTCGAGTGGAACTCCATGTTATTCCGAAAGATCGAAATGTCGGGCGTGTTGCCGCGCTCGTGCTGGCTGCAGTTGATAGCGAAGCCTTTAGGGTTTACAGACACCTCTACCTTGAGGCCGTACAATTTGTGCTTAGCACTATAGTACGGCATCACTTCGGCCATGTTTCCAGCAGGTCGATTGGCCTGTTGGAAAGTGACGTCCGTCGCATATAACGCACACGGGTAGTGACTAAAGGTGTTTCCGGAAGTCACCAGCCGCCGCATGTTGGTCTCTACCGCTTTTCCTCGCACCCACTCATCGTAAATGCGCGGCGCAAGTACACGGCAAAACGACGTTATCGTCTTGATAAACGTCGGGGTTTTGATCCGAAAAACGTGAGCATTCATATCCCAGGTGCCTCCGTGTTTGAGCACAGCTACTGTCATGAAGAGAACGTCCTTTCCAGCAAACTGAGAGCGACGTCCTCTTCCGACGTTCCAGTAGCGCGTGACGTGCAGCCGCACTATGGACCACAGTGCGTTGAGTTCGCGAGGAGTAAAGTTGGTCAGGCGGCTTACGGCGTCAGCTCCTCCTTCCATATACCACGCGTCGAAAATCGGGCACGGTGAGTCGACATCCACGTCGTCATCATTGCGGAGCACGCGTGAAAACCTGTCGAGCTCAGCGCGGCGGACGATGTCTCGATCAGCAAGCATGCTTAGCATTTGCTGGCGGTGATCTTCTTCCGTAGCGTGAGAGCGGCGACCAGTGCGACCTGACATCTTGGGCGAGTTGGGGGGATGTTTTGTAGCTTGGTAACTATTAGGTTAATTGCGAAGTGATTAAGTCTTAACAGTTGGAGTGGCAAACGTTGTCGTCATAAACTACCTTTAAGTAGCTGCGCATTGTTCTAGAAGATCGATAACATCGCTAATAGATCTAGAAATTTCGAATGTGTGTCATCTAGAGGAATTTACGGTCAGTTGTGTAATTTTTGCAAGTTGTTTAGTGCTCTGCACAGATACTCGCTGGGTGATTTGTAACTGGTTTTTAGGTCTATTCAACGTATCCTTCAACATCCGACGTTCACTGTTGAGACGGTCTGTGCGGTACAGTATGTTACGTTTTCATGCACATGTCGAGCAGCCAAAAATGAAGCATAAGAATCACGAAGAATTCCCCAATACCAACCATAAAGCTTGATGGAATCCCTGAATGTCCAACGAGTTAGGTTCATGTTCTTGTCCATTTCGTAGTCGTGGGGCGAGCTGAATCAACTTTGATACAGTCGGGCAAGTAAATTTACTCCCGGTGTTGCAAAATGTGTTGTCAATTGTGAACCCATTTGTCAAATTAATGAGGGTTTGTCACATGTGCACTTCAAGCAAGCCCCAAAACCTAAAACATACTTCATGTAACCAATAACATTTGCGTGGGGAAAATATCCACCCGCGTCGTATCCAAGATGCATCGTATCGCCACCAGCGATTCACTGGCCACGATAGTCGCGTGCATGTACTTTGCTAAAATATTGTTTGCTGCATTGGAAGCCACACCAAGTTTTGATCACGTGTGAATTGCTTGCCGAACCTATTGTCCACCAACGGCTGTCGCAGCAATGCATTGGTTCTGTATGTGTACCGGTATGTACAAGGCACAGCCGATCAGAGAAGCATCCCGGCGATTCCTTTCCTCAACGCTTCACACAGACAAGACTACAGGCAGTTCGATCCACCCATGTGTGGCTCTTGTAGTGTCTGACGGTTGTTCACCCCACGCCGCGCGTATCGATCCTCATTCTCAAACTCGACAACTAACGAGCAAGCTCCCACAACCAGCAACAACCTCCACATTTTAAGCTACCATGAACCTACAAGCTCTTCTCCTAGTCGCGGCTTCCATGACCGCTCGCACCACTGCCGAGTTCACCGTCACCTCCGGAACCACTGAGGCCACCACGTCCAGCACCGAACATGTGAGCTTTGTCAAGCAATGGACGCTCAACTCCGCAGCCACTGGCGACCACATCGACTCGATCGACCTTGATCTGGCCGGTCGTGTCTACGTGAGCTACGTGAGCGGCCTGCCGAGCGGCGTGCTCGGGTACGTCAACGTGTCGGGCGACTCGCAGACCGTGGTGGATGCTGTGACCGTCGGCAACGACGACACCAATGACAATGATGATAATGACAACGGCGACACCAACGACAGGGACGGAGAGCTAAACGTACGTATCGGTAACAGCACGTCTACCACGCTCAGTGGCTACCTGCTCACCGAGATCTTCCTGGCTTCGAGCGGCATCGTGACGGACGTCAAGAGTCAACGATCTGCTCAGGTGGTCGTCGAGGACGGCGTCCTGGTGTCGAGTAGCACCACCGCGGAGTTGCAAGTCGAGGCGAGCGGCTCCAGTGCCGTGTACGTGTCGGCGGCCAGCACGGCCGTGAGCGTTCGCCAGCTGCACCTAGATGCCGCAGGCACTGCCCGCCTTCAATTCAACGTCGCGAGCGTGTCAGCCACGGAGGACGTGCAGATCGACGCCCAGGGATCGGCCGGTGTCTCGCTGCTAGGTTCGTCTGTCGAGACGGCCACGCTCGAGCTGGAAGCGCAGAACACCGGCACTATCTGCATCAGCTCACAGACGGTCACGGCCGCGAGCTACGAAGGCCAGGATGCCAGCCGTATTTCAATGCCCAACGCCTCCAACAAGTTTACATCCACGGGCTCCACAGCGTGCGATGAATCAACCGTACCTGCCCGTGAGCCGGCGTGTGTGTCAACCGCGTGCGCGACCTCATCGACGTCAGGCACAACGGCTGGCACGGCCGGCAGCAGTGCGAACACTACGGCGGCGGGGACGACTGCGCCGACGACGGCCAGCGATGATGATGCTAACGACGATATCAACGACGACACTAGTGCGTCTTCGACCCCACGCCTTGCTGCGCTGGCTGCTGCTGCGATCGGTATGGCGACGGCTGTACTGCTGTAGACACCGGGTGATCCAGTACCACAACGAGTTTACTTATCTCCATTTTATTGAGGCATGTGCTAGGTGTTCGTACGCGTCACTTCTAGTTGCAGAAGCTCTACGAACATCGCTATTGTAGTGGTACAATGTAGTGAAACACCAACTTTTTAAACCGCTATCCATTGTTGAACCACTTGTTCAAATCCGCAAATGAACCACCATTTTACAGGACTGTGTCACATTTTCTTAGTGAAGCTTCAAGAATTGTGCTTTGCAGACCTCTATTCTAGAATGCTAATTCAGACTTTTAATTAAATTAACTCTATCTAATAATAAACAACAAAGTCGTGGAAATTTGAGAAACATCAGATTCTATTTTAAAAAAATCTGTTGATTTGTTATTAAGGTGTTCTTTTCACTCGCAAAGTTGCAGCAATGAAGTCGTTGACGTGTGTGGTGGTCGGAGACGGGAAAATCTTCGTGGTGGAAATTGATGAGCGCAAGAAGGTCGGAAGCTTGAAGAAGATGATCAAGGAAAAGAAGACGGGCGACTTCCTTGCGGACCAATTAACGCTATACGTCGCGAAGAAGGGTGGCAACTGGCTATAGACAAACGACCCTGCTGTGATGATGTTGGAGAATGGTGAGGTTCCTAAAGGAATCGAAGATCTCATGGAGAAGAAAGAGAACAAAATGGATCCGAGGTATCGAATTGGCAACGCTGCGTTCAATTTTCCAGACGAAGACGATGCTGGGGAAGACACGTACTGGTGAAACTTCCGGCTTGTGTGGACCAACGTGTACGCAAAAAGGCCAGATTGTTGACACCGGTCGAGCACACGAAGCTAAACACGATTGCAACAGCCTTACAGATCGAACAGTGGCAAGTCGGTGGCCTCGCGCTCGGCATCCGTGACATCGAGCCGGATTTTCCCGAGTATTTCTATGTTCGGAAGGAGACATTGGACATTATCAAAATCTTTCGTCGTCAGCTGGAAAAAGACCGAAGCGTTGTGCTTGTCGGTACCCCTGGTGTTGGAAAAAGCATGCTGGTCGTGCTGTTTGCCTTTCATATGGCGCTGTGCCAACAGAAGCGTGTCGTGCTATTGCGAAAGTTGAAACGGAAAGGGTTCACTTTGTTGTATCTAGACCCAGAGTGTCAGCAATACTGGCATAAAGAGGAGGTGATTATTACTGACCTCGATCTGCTGGAGCATCGCGACTTTGAATTGTGTCTGGATGGGTTGCTGCACCATGACATCGAGTCGAATTTTGGTCGTCTGGCTCGGTTCCGGTTGCTTGCCACACCAGCTCAATATAAATTGAAGGACGACGACATTGAAGTACTACGGCAGTGCATTGCTTCGTTTTGGTCGAAAGCGGATCTGAGGATTATTGGAAGGTTGTGACGTGGTGGTCACTAGCCAATGGCATGGCAGTGACCAGCCACGTCAATTATTTGAGTTCAGCTGGTCAGATTATTCTGATCAGCGTAAACTTAAGATTGCGTGTCTTTACATCATACTACAATCCTATTGGTCCAAAATCCCATGGATTTGCAACAATCAAGCTTCCAGCCGGAAATTGTGATTATGGGACGCTGTGCGAAATTTCCGACCAAGAAAAGAATTAGGATTCATAGGCTTTCATTGGTAGTTACAGAGAAAATCAGGATTTGAGAAAGATAGGTTTTAGGATGGACCTGGATACGTGCGTGAATATCCGGTTGTCAAGAACTACTGGTTGTGCGGCAGCTACTAGCTTGCAGCCGCCAACTCTAACTGATTAATCACTTCTCAATTTGCTTTCGAGCAGCAACTCCTCTCCTCCCCTTCAACTGTCTACGGCGCCGTACTCGCCGTCTACGCTCCTACGCTTCCTCGCTACTTTCGTGACATAGTAGCACTTGTCGTGTCATGCTTCGATTCAAGTAGGGCACTCGTGGTGGCATAGCCAGAAGCGAGTTGTCCTGAGGTTATTGGTGCCAGCCACATAGTTTGGGAAGCACTAGATCACAAAGGGTATTGCCTCAGCACGAACTGTTACGTTCAGTGGCTAGTTGGTGTGGTTGCGCACTAGTGTGGTACACACAATCGGAAACTCTTTCTGGTGGTCTTGGGTCTAACGCTTTCACGTTAAGTGGATCCTTATCCCGCATCAGAGCTTAAAGGAGCGAACGTCCGATTAGATACTCACTGGTTGTGCTTGATCTACATCCGTTGCTACTGCATCTGTTTCAGTGTGCTTGTTTATGGGTAAGCGAAAGACTCGTCAACCCGAAGATCCGTTTGTAAACAGCACAAAGTCCTTGACTGATCGACACAAGCAGCTCGATCAGCTTCGTCTGGACTTGTGGCTAACAACGGTCAAGCAACTTAAGCTCGTCCGCCTGATCCGAAACGAAATTCCGGAATCTAAGGACGCAGCCGCCCGGAACGTCATTCACGACTTCAGTGAATTGCTCAAGAAACGTATTAAGCAAACCCCAGAAATTCTTGAAGGATCTTTTGATCACTCCATCCACGTAGACAAGAAACGTAGATTGTAGGGAGGAACTTTATATATCGGAACCTTTTTTCGCTTCGTTTAACTTCGGTATAGGGTTCTGGTATCTTAAAAGACTTGCGCTGAGAAGTCCAGCTTGAAATGGCTCAAAGAAGGAGTCGTGCAGCTGAGCGCCCGTCACCGAACCCTCGTCCTCGTCAACAGAGCCGTGTTAGTGCTCCGAGCGACGCTGAAGCTACCCAACCCACGATGCGAACAAATTCAAGATCGCAAGCGTCAAGAGAAGGGGCCAGTGCCAACGCACAGGCTGAGTCAGCCTCCCCTGCTACTGCTGCTGCTCAGGATGCGGCTGGACCTGAGACCATGTCCATGCAGCAGCTGCTCGTATACATTACGCAGCAGCAACAGCAGTATCAAGCTCAGATGCAAGCGCAAATGCAAGCCCAAATGCAACAAGCTAATGCGAGATTCGAATATCTCGTTGCCGCTAGGGGTGAGCAGAAGAAGAAGGACCCTCCGATGTATGAAGGAAAGTATGGTGAAGACATTGAATTGTGGATCTTTGCCACCGAGCAGTACTACGCAAGCAGACGTGAGTTAATGGAGGCAGACTCGTCAGGTTTCGTGACGATAATCTCCAGCAGCTTAGGCAAGTCAGTGTTGAACTGGTATCGCGCTTTTATAGCCGAATGTGAGAGAGCGAGTGTGAACCCCACGTGGTCGTTGTTTAAGCAACAGCTGCGCACGCGCTTTCGACCAAAGGACTTCGAGTATGATCTTCGCGAGAGAATGTTTCGTCTCAAACAGACCGAGACTATTCACGAGTATGTCTCCAAGTTTCAAGACCTGCTGTCGCAGACAGAATTGACGATCAGTGAGTTGGAGAAACGATTCTTCTTTTAAAACGGGTTACGTGAAGAAACAGCAAAGAAGATCAAAGAAGAGAGTCCATCAACGCTACAAGAAGCCATTGAAATTGCTTCGAGCTTCGAGTTTGCGCACTACTCCGGGAAACCTCCTCGAGCACCTTCGAAGCCTTCAAAAGAGTCGTCGGACTCGGGGCATCATCCGCCTAAATCGAAACAGCAGAACAACAAGCGTTACGAAAAGAAAAAAGGGCAAAGACCGGTGGATTGGAAGAAGACAAGCTACGTGCAGAAATTGGTGCCAGGGTTGGTCACATTTCTCCAGATTGTACTCAGCCAAAACGTACGGAAGCAAACCGGTACATGCAGGGGCGCAGTGTATGCGATCCTAGAGGCTGAAGCTCGAGCATTCAAGACGGAAGACCAAGAGAGGCCCGTCACGATATTCATTGACAACGGCAGTAGCCTGAACGGCGTAACTGAGGAGTTAGTGATGAAGCTTGAGTTGGATGTCACTGAAGGTGACATGATGCAAGTTGATCTCGGTTATGATCAGATTGTGCATCGTCCACGTCGGCCTGTAGAGATGTCTCTACAGTTACCAGGATTTCCCTTGACAACGGGAACATTCCAAGTCATGCCTGTTCCTGAGGGAAAGGACATAGTTTTAGGCATGATGTGGCTGCGGGAGCAGAACCCTGTCATCGACTGGAGTACTGGACAGATTGCACCTCGCATAAACGTGGAGAACACGCAGACTGTGAAGTTGAGAATGCCGAAGACACGTCCAGCCCGTTGGGTGGCAGGACAACGCCGCGCCAGAATTGCGCAGAGCCGTGAGATCTACAACTACTATCGGCAGCATGGCCACAACGGCCGGTTTAGACGAACGAAGGTTATTTCGTCCAACCAGTTCCAGCAAATGTTGCGTAGGGACAAGGACATCGAAGCGGTGTTTGTTATCAATCCGCATGACTCGGAGAAGGCGGAACGCTTCAAGAGTCAAGGATGGGATGCTCTCAAGGACAATCCGGCGTACGATACGCTACGTAAGTATGCGGATACGGTTTTTCGCACGGAACTTCCGAATGAGACACCCCCAGTACGTGAAGGGATTGAGCATGAGATTCTGCTCAAGCCTGATACTCCGCCTATTTCGGTAAAACAATGGCGCCAAAGTCCTGATCAGAAGAAAACGATACAGGAATGGACCAAAGAGATGGTTCAAGCTGGTATCATTCGACCGAGTACGTCAGCGTTTTGTGCACCGACTTTCTGTGTGAAGAAACCAGTCGGATGGCGAATTGTGCACGACTATCGTCAGTTGAATTTAGCTACGGTTCTACCGCCTATTCCGATGCCTCGCAAAGAAAACACCTTTGATGCGATGGCCGGCAGCTATTGGTACTCGTGCATGGACTTACTCTGGGGTTACTACCAAGTTAAGCTACGTGAATCAGATATACATTTTACTGCTTTTTCGACTCCAGACGGTCTTTTTGAATATTTAGTCACGCCCATGGGACTCAGCGGTAGCCCGGGAACCTTTAACAGGTTGTTACAGAAGGTTTTTTAGGGATTTACGTGACGTGATGCGGATCTACTTCGACGACATTTACGTGTACACCAAGAGTGAAGATGTCGACGAGC